GCATGGCTGGGCTGGGGGGCTGTTGCCCCCCCTTCCTTGTCCCATGGGCTGCACCTTTTTAATCCTTGTTCCTTCCCTGCCCCCATTTTGAGAGCCGGGTCTGAGCACTCTTTATGCCTTCAATGCACCTGTCCTTTCTAACACGTCACCTTCAATTGTAATTACAACATCTTGAAAATCATTTAATAAAGAAGGAAAATCAGGCATGCTAACAGGACTGTGGAGCCAGTTCCTGTGCCAGCAGCACCCAAGGTCAGGTGAGCCCATTGTGAGTTTGGCCCCCATCTGGACTTTCCCAGGCCCAGGGGGAGCTGGCCCAAGAGGGGCTGCTGGCTACAGTGGGTGGGCAGGGCTGGACTTTGGGGAACAGTCCCATGTGCTGAATGACCCTTTTGGGGGCTCTGTGCTGCCACAGCAGTCTTGACATCACTCCCACCTCACCCCTTGGACACATCATCCCCAGAGGGACAAGCGGGGCCAGACAGGGAATTCAGTACACGATGTGCCRGGGGTTAGAGCTGCAAGACCCTCCCCCAAGCATTTCAGGATGTCTCCCTATTTGGGTGCCTTAAGTATTCCATTAAGCTGGGTATAAAGTAGTATTGGGCACTAAAATACTCAGCCTAAAACCGGATTTAAAAGGGGCTGGCGAGGAAAATTTTAAAGCCTCCTGGAGGCCCACCCAGCCCAGAGTGGTGAACTGAGGCTCTGAGGCTCAGCAGTCTTCTGGGCAACACCCACCCTTTTCTCCCAGCCCCATCTCTTACAACCAATGGGCTTGACTAGATGCCCCGGTCTTTGAGGTCCCCAGCCTAGGCCAGGCTGCTTTCCCCTTAGTCTGGGTAGGGCAGTATGAAACACTGACTGGGACATTTAATTGGCTGGACCTGGGTGAAATTCTGTCCACSCAGCAGCCTCCTTGAGTCTGACTCTGGAAACTAGCCTGCCCTACACTRGAGCACTGCAGGGTCTCGGCAAGGACCGCTGCCCCGTCCTTGCCTCTGGGGTTGGCTGGTGGTTAGAGGCGCCTCCTCCTTCCTACTCCCCCTCAGTGTTGCCTACTAGCTGGGGTGCTTCGACGTGGGCTTCTGGAAGCAAAAACATTCATTCCTAGCAAGGTTCTGGGCAGGGCAGGATAAGGTGTCCCAAAGGTGCCCCGCAGACCGGGGGCTGAGGAACGGGCGTCTCCAGGAGAGGCCACAACAGGACCTGGASCCTGGCTTCCCGGGGATGCCGGGCAGGCAGGCCTTGTGGAGGAAGGTCAGAGGGTACTTCAGCCGAGGGAAGACGCCGCCCTCGGGTGGAAGGGGCAAAGGATGTCGCCGGGCTGGGGCCTGTGGCCTATCGAGGGGAGAACCTGCCGTGGAAGGGTGGAAGGCCGAGCCTCGCCCCCGCCCCGCACCTCCTGGGTCAGGCCTCGGGTCAGGCTCGGGTCCTTGGAGTGGGGGGCTCCAGGAGGTCAGGCTCCACGTGCCTGGGGCAGCAGGCCTTCTTACTGCCTCAGAGGTACTGATACTCAGCATCCTGGGCACCTTAGCCATCCTCTGGAGCCAGTTTGGTCTGGGGTGGTGGCTTCCAGGTTCTTTGAAAATAAAGTAGTATTCGGCTGTGCACGACCGGCCAGCGGTATACGGCGCCGGCTCCCGCGGACAGACCAACGCAGCACAGCACGGCCTACCGCTACCGCTTCCGGCCAGTACCGGAAGTGCGCGCGGAATGGATTCGCGCCCGTGGTGTGCGATGACGCACTTCCTTGTCAGAAGCGGTCGCTGAACTCGCGGTCTCCAGCAGGCGGCACTGGAACTCCGGCAAGCCTGCACGGCGAGCCGCAGCCCCGGGGCACTACGGGAACCGCAGTCTTGGTTCCGCCCCTTCCTGTTCGTCACTTCCGGAGCCGAGGGACCCTGGAGAGGAGCGTGGGCAAAGCCCGGCGTGCGCGCAGAGTGCGCGTCCCGGCAGGCCTCGGGGTGGCCGTCGCGGCCTTGTGGGAGTGGTAGTTCCTCAGGCGCCTCAGTCGCGGCGCGCGGACGGGGGGGAACTCACTTTCCCAGAGCCCCCCGCGCGGGGCGGGAGGGACCGCATCCGGAGGCGGCGGACGCGCCAGTGTGCCGGGCTCCGGCGAGTTCCCGGTCGGCCCTCTGAGTGCCGGAGGCTGCGTGTCCGCCGCGCTTCTGCCGCCCTGCGTTTCGCGCGGCCCAGCGGAGCGGAGCAGAGGCCGCCTCTCGGCCCACCCGCGGAGCGGTCCCCGAGCGAGGCCGGCAGCCGCCGAGAGCCCGGCCCTCTGCGGGTTGCACCGTGGTCTGGTGGCCGGCTCTGCTGCAGCCCTCGCCCAGCCAGCAGCCGCGCACCTGGGCCGGGGCCCGCACGCCCCCCACCGAGGCCCTTCATCGGCCCTCCGCGGGGCCGGGGGCTCGCGGCAGGCTGGACAGGGGCCCCCGGAGGACGCGGGTCTGCGGGAGCGCCTCGTTCTGAACACGCTCTTCACGGGCAAACCGCTGGCCGCGGGTTCCAGGGCAGCGTGGCCGGGCGCCCATGGCTGAGGCGGGGGCGGGCGAGCCGGCCCCTGGCTTGGAGGCGGAGCAGGCGACAGAGTATGACACCCTGCCTTCTGACACCGTCTCGCTCAGCGACTCGGACTCAGACCTCAGTTTGCCCGGCGCTGCTGAGGTGGAGGCGCTGTCCCCCGAGGACTCCAGCCCCGAAGAGCCCCCCTGGTCCCCGGCAGGCCTCCCCGGCGCCGCCGCGCAGCCCTTCCTCCTCAGAGGCGTGAGCTCCACCTTCTCCCAGCGAAGCCACAGCATCTTCGACTGTCTGGAGGGGGCGGCCAGGCGGGTGCCCACCTCGGCAGCTCACACCAGCAGGAGTGACAACGGTGGCCCCCAGCGGCCACCGATGCCCTCGAGCCACCCTCCGGCAGCAGACCCTGACCCTCCGAGGGTGCCGCCGCTCCCTGACTATGTGGCGCACCCTGAGCGCTGGACCAAGTACAGCCTGGAAGACGTGGCCGAGGCCAGCGAGCAGAGCAACCAGGCAGCCGCCCGGGCCTTCCTGGGCTCCCGCAGCCGGGCGGCCCCCGCCGACTACACGCCCTCCTTCAACCAGCGTCCCTCCAGCGGTGGGGAGGGCAGAGTCGTCTTCACCAAGCCCGTCCGAGTTGGTGAGGCCAGAGCTGAGAGGAAGAGGGCCCTGAAGAAGGGCGGTGTGCCAGGTGTGGGGGGCGAGGGTCCTGTGGAGCTGGCCCACCTGGTGGGGCTCGGCAGCCCAGAGGCCGAGGAGTGTGGTAGTGCCCTGGGGCTACAGGATTTGGGGACACCTTCAGGGGCTGTCCACCCTGGGTCCTCACCCGGACCCCCAGGGGTGGAGATGGTTGGTTTCCATGGCAGCAAGAAGCGGAGCCGAGAGCACCTGCGCAATAGGGGCAGCAGCCCTGAAAGCTCAGGGGCTGGGATGGGAGGGGGACACTCAGACTGACCACACTGCCATTGCCTGCCTGCCCAAGCAGAGACTGCTGAGTGGGCTGGAGTATGGGGCCATGGTTGCTAGGGTGGATGGGGAATCATCCTCTTGGTAAGGAAGTTGATTAGCTGCCTGGAGGAGGTGTCAGAGTTCTGGCTACCCAGTGTCCATGGGGGGACAATAAAAGTTTTGGCTGTTCTTCAGGTTCTGTGTCTATCTGGGCTCCTCACCCTGAGGGCTCTACTGGCAGCCCTCATTTGTCCTCCAGCCTCTCTTGGCCCTCCCCGCCTAGTGGGGCTGCTCTGAGGGTCTCAATGACCTGCATTGGTCACTGGGGGATCCAGTAGAAGGACTGAAGTGGCAACAGCAGGCTGAGGCCCCGGTTCCTTCCAGGGCTGCAGTCCAGCGTCCATCCCTGTGTCCTGCATGGTGAGGCTAGAGCTTGAGCAGGGACCCTGGGTGGCCGCTCTCCCAACCCTGACCATGCTTGTCATGGCCATGGGTCCCACTTGGGCTGTATGTGAAGATGGACACGTAACAGATGTCTAGGGTGTACCGCCAGGACACCTGGCCTGTATTTAGACCACAGATGCCACAAGTCAGCGCTGGAGACTTCCTAACTGGGCAATGGGGGGACAAGGATGGTTCTCCATGGCGGTGGGCAAGGCGAAAAGGAATGGCCATGTCTCCCCTATGATGCCCAGGATCTGGGGGTCAGATTAGCCTGCTATGTTGTGGTTTTACATGGGCAGCCCTAACTCCTGGACTCATCCCTAAGGAAAGGAGGGACCAACCCAGTTGGTTACTTTGCTTGGAGTGGGGGGCTCCAGGAGGTCAGGCTCCACGTGCCTGGGGCAGCAGGCCTTCTTACTGCCTCAGAGGTACTGATACTCAGCATCCTGGGCACCTTAGCCATCCTTTGGAGCCAGTTTGGTCTGGGGTGGTGGATGGTGGCTTCCAGGTTCTTTGAAAATAAAGTAGTATTGGGCACCTGTCTGGGCTGTGTCTTGAGACCACTGCCGTGGGTGCCAGCACTCCCCATACCAGCTGTGGGGGGTAGATGGTTACTATTGCCGCCTGGCCCTTCCCACCAAGAGCCGATCAGCTGACTCCTAAGGGGCCCTTTGTGTCTTAAGGGGTAGAGACGTTGATCACAGGCATTTCAGGAAAAGATAGTTTCTTATCAGATGACACAAGGGAGGCAGGGTAGGCCTCAAAGCAGCTGCCCAGCCTGGATGAAAGGAATCCCCAACTTCCTGGGGTTTGGCCAGAACTGGCTGTCCAAGCCAGGCCAGCCAGGTCTTAAACAGGGACATGGAGGACTCATCCTGTGAGGGACACTGCCACCAATACTGCTGGGGGTCCCAGGTAGGTCAAGAGAGAATGATTCATCTTCACAGGGACATGTCCAGGAAGAGGTGTTCTGATGAGGCTGGGAGGGCTACTTTGCTCTGGGACCTCCAGTGGAGGTGGGGGAAGGTTAATGTGTCCCGAAGGGCCAGGCCTGGGCTCAGTTGGGCCTGTGGCATGGCAGGCCAAGCAGCTCAGTTGTCTGAGGGTGGCTGGCCAGCCTCTGGGTGTTCTCTGCCACCAGGGCCCTCTCCGTGGCCAGCAGGGGCCTGCTGGCTCCCATTACCACATTGCCGAGAGCCTGGGGGGAAGAGAGACCCCACCTCAGCTGTTGAGTGCCAGCTGGGCAGGCCTAGGAGGCAAGGGCAGGATGTGGTGGCCTTAGAGTGGGTGCCTGTGGAGGAGGCTGGGAGTCCCAAGCAAACGTGGTGTCCTCAGGGCTGTGGGTGAGTAGGGTGGCACTTGGCAGGATCAAGAGTGCAGCCCAGTAAGGCAGATATTGGACAGAGCCTCAGGGTGTATCTGACGTCTGAGGGTGCCAATGCCCTGGACCTTGCAGCATCCCAGGAGTAGTGGCCAGCCAAGGGGGCCAGCGGCCTCCAGAGTGGGTGGGGTGGTAGAGTGCATCAAGAGGCCTGTGGGCCCTGCAGCCTGCCCATGTGGCTGGGGAGGAGGAGCCCAGGCCCACTTCACAGCCAGCTGTGCACTTACTCCAGTAGTTGCTGCCTGGGGCTAGCACATCAGCCATGGAGGACAGGAGCAGCGTGCAGTAGTTGACCTGGAAGTGGATGGGCCAGTAGATTCCAGGGCATGCTGGTGGAGCCCACCCGTCTGCCCCCTCAACTGCCAGGGCCCTCTGCCACAGGACCCTTCCTCCTCCTCAGTGTGGCCTCCATGAGGATCTGCCAGTCCAGCTCTGGGAGGGCACTTAGACTTTCTGGTGACTGGGGGTTGGGTAGGTACAGGCCCACGTGCACCTCTGTTCTGGGACTCGCCTGCCACATCCACAGGAGTCCACCACTCTGTCCAGGCCCTGGCCCAGCCAGCCCATCAATTTGGATGTTGGGCTCAGGGATGTGCCCACAGCACAGGTGGACAGCCTAACCCCAGGAAGCATCGGGGCCTGGAGTTGCTGCTTGCCTGTGATTCCAGACACCGGATCCGCTTTTCTTGCTCTCTCAGCCCCCCGAGGTACTTGGCAACAGAGTCCACTCTGTGGAAAAGCAAGGGCAGCTGTGGGCCATGACAGCCAGTACTCCATATGGGGGCCACCTGTCCTCCCTCGCCTACCCGCCAGGCCTCTGGGTACTGAGTCTGATGTGCTGGCCCCTTCCTGTCCTACTCTCCCAAGTGGGACCCATGGCTCTAGGAATGGTCGCATCCACGACCACTCAGGACATGGCCAGTCTGCGTGTGGAGCACTTCTGTGCCCTCCCAGGGGCTGGGCCCTGCCCTGCCTGACCACAACAGCAAGAGTGGTCACAGGGCAGGACATCCCCACAACAGGCATCAGGGAAAGGTCCCCTAGAGCCAGGGCTGGGTTCAGACCACTCGGTCCCCAGAAGGAAGGGGCCCTGCTCCCTGGCCAGTGTCCCAGCTGCAGAGCAGGCTAGTCCCTGGCAGAGCCCCTCCAGTGGGCAAGAGGTGGGGCTGCTGAGCCCAGGGACCCAGCCGCGTCCTGCTTCTCGCCTGGTTCCTCCGTCCAGATCCAGTTACTGACACTGGAGGTCCTCTTCCAGCTTTCAAGCAGCTCAAAGCTGACCAGTGAAAACAATAGTGGTCTTCCCAATGCCCAGGCTGGGCACCCACTGCCCAAGTCTGCTGCCCCTCATAGCAGACCGAGGTCAGCATGGCTGGGCTTGCTCTGGGTCCACCTGCCACCAGGGCAAGGCCCTTTCCGTTCCTGGGCAGCCCCAGGTGTGTACCTGTGGGCGGTTTTCCGCAGCACCTCCCCCTCACTGTCCCTCCTCCTCCTCTCCATGTTGCTCAGGAAGTTCTCCTTCTGAACAGTCTCCCAGGTGACGATCTTCTGGTCCAGGGGGTCCGGCAGGTCTCGCTCTGGGGAGGTGGGAGCAGCAGGGAGTCTTGCTGGAGCCAGGAGGTGGACCCAGGGGCAGGTGCAGCTGGGCAGGTCATGAGGTGGCCCCTTGCAGAGACCCCCCTCCCCAAGCTGCTGCAAGACAGGCTGGGCCTGTGTCCATCTCCTCCGGACCTGGGACTTTGATCAGCCTAGACAGTGGAGCTGCGGGACCCCAGGACCCTGGCCTCCCCATGGCACCTTGACGGGCGGCAGGCCCTCAGGGTGGGTGGTGTCCAACAGGTGCCTCACCCAGGTGCTCCTGCTTTTGCTGGGCTGCCTTCCTGAAGACGCGCTTGAGCACCAGGCTCAGGTGGCTGAGGAGGATGAAGGGTGGGGCCAGGGCGGGGCGCCCGTGGTATTCCACGATGAGGTGGTAGCGCTGGAACTTCCAGAACATGTCGGCGTTTCCCTGCACCACCTGGAACGTGTAGCTGTGGGGACACATGGCCAGACCCCTCAGCCCACTAGCCTCCACCTCAGCACGTGTGACCCTGACCCCCCTGTGCCAGGAGCAGTCTGGGCCCTTTCCGAGGCCGAGGTCCTGCACACTCTCGCGTCTCTGGGGTGTACTGCAGAGAGGGTCCACCCACTGTCCTCTTCCCCTGCCGTTCTGCCCCCTGGGTAAGCTTGGGCCACACCACGTACCCCTGAGCCCCCAGCCCCTGAAGCCCTGGGCCCTACATCCTGGGAGGAGGGAGTGGCTGTGGAGCCTGAGTGGGCTTATAGTGTGGACTGCACCCCTCCCCACACTCTGGTCTCACCCTTGGTTTTGGGGCCAGGGAGTTGAGCCCCTCAGCAAGTGCTAAGAACCCACCCTCCATCTGCCTGCTCCACAGTAGCAGGACAGGGCTGGTGCAGCGAGGGCAGGTGGCCTGGGAGGGGCAGGACATGGGCACCTGAACATGGCAATGAGCAGGTTCATAAGCAGCACATTGGTGACCAGCAGGAAGGTGACCAGCAGGAGGATGACCAGCCAGTTGGCATAGAGGTTGGGGCAGGAGGGCGAGTCCTCCAGCAGCAGGGGGTGGACGGAACAGTTCACACGGGCTTCTGGAAGACCAACCAGTGGGCACTTTCAGACTTGGGGGCCCTGTCCTGAGGCTGCGGCCACCAGGACACAGAATGCTGGTGAGGTGACCCAGTGTCGTGGTTCACACAGCACCGTCTGGGCATTTGGCACTGGAAGCCCATTGTGGAAGCCCCAGTCCTGGCAACCAGACAGGCGGGCTGCCCAGCATCAGTGCACGTATCCCACTCTGCTTGGCTTCCACCAGGAGCCACAGGCCCTGGAGGGTGGAACCGAAGACCAGGGAGGTGAAACTGAAAAATCAGGGAGCAGCGTCTGGTGACTGTATGAACTGACTCCTCCATCCCTGCCTGGGAAGCCCACCATGGGGCTCCAAGCTCCAGGCAAGTCTACCGCCTTTCAGGGTCACTGCTGACCCTTGACACAGCTCACTCTGGGCTGCAGTGCCATCCGGGAGCCGTCAGGCTGAGCTCCATGGGCCTGGACATGCGCATCTGTCTCTGCACGTGTGTGGTGTGGGTGTCTGCGTGTGAGCACACTGCACTCTCTTCTGTACATTCCAGTGTGTTCTGGTGCCTACCCCTCTGGGTCTCTGGGCTGTGACTGACTCCAGGCCACCCCAGGGCCTCCACTCTCCAGGTCACCTGTGTACCAGTGTCCCTATGACTCCCTCACTGGGACAAATTCCTGCCTTGTCACCAGAGTGAGTTAGAAGGCAGTGTGTGTGGGTTCATGCTGTAGCCGGGGAGGGCCAGGCCCCACCCTGCCCCCTCCTCAGGCACCCTGGCAGCCCTCAACCCATGAATCTCCTCCAGGCACTGACTCATGAGCCTCCTCCCTCCTCCTGGCGCCCTAGAGAAGTGGCCAAGCTGGCGTTTGTGATGCTGTAAATCTGTCTGATGGAAGCCTCTGGGAGGTAAGGAGACCCCACCCCTTCCCCAAGATTTGAGAAGGCGCCACTAGGCCTGCTGGAAACCAAATTGCCCCTGGCCCAGGAGCCCAGGGGAAAGACCAGGCTGGAAGTGTGTGGACGGGGGCCCTGGGCCCACAGGCGGTGGGGAGCTGCTGGACCTCGGTTTCCCTCTGGGCCCAGGAGTGAGAGAGTAACTGTCTACCAGGCAGCACAGTGATCTCAGGGAAGGGCTGGGGTTTGTGCCTGAGGGCCCTGAGAGGGGAGAGGACATGGGCAAGGGCGCTCAGTGAAGCCTGACCACGGTGGCCATGCCTGTGGTGTTCACGGCAGCCCCACAGACCTTTCTACCTGTGCCTTCCCAGGTGGCACTGTCCCAGTAAGAGAGGGACTGGCCCAGGTCTGTCTCCTTATCCAGTGTGGAGGGCAGACAGCTGGGACTGAGTGGGCTGGACATCAGCCCCTGAGGAAGGAGGACCCCACCCTGCCCTGGCTGAGGCGTCCACCCTGTCCTCCTGCCTCTGAGGCCCAGTGGGACTGGAATGTGTGGGCCGTAGGGTGGGGGTGGAGCAGGTGGAGAGCAGGAGGGGCTGGAGAAAGTGGTCCTTGAGGGGCGCTCAGAAAACAGCCTCAGACCGTGGCCCACTGAGCACCCAGCTAGGAGCCCGTTTCCAGCCCTTGCCCACCCCCGGATCTCACCATCATCCATTGACAAGTATCTGTCACATGCCACGATGGCTGGTCTGGCCTCCTCCAGGGATAGCTGGGGTCAGACCTCTGCTGCCCATCCTGCCACGATGGCCCCATGGCCAGGGTGGCCCCACCCTGCGCCCCATCTCCAAGCCTTGGCACCCCCGCAGGCTGGCACAGGCCCGTCCCTGCCTCCATCCATCAGCCCAAGAGCCCAGGCAAGCAGCTGCCTTCCGCCACACGCTGCACGCCCTGTCTGGAGCGAGTTCCCAGGGCCCCGCAGCCCCATTCAAGTACAGGGCCTGGCTTGGGGACACCCACACCACAGGCCACATGCCCCTGATGACAATAGGTGGCACACACACGTGGGTGGGTCCCCAGCAGAAGCAAGGGTGCTGTCGGGAAGGGCCTCACCACCCTGGGCCTCTCGAGGGTGACAGGGAGACCTTGGCCATGAAGCTCCCAGGATGGTCAGGGTGGCCTGAATGACTCTGTTCTGTGCTTGCCCACCCTTTACCCCCTCTCCAGATGACCCCAGCTAGGCCTGTCCCTGGCCTGCCAGGCAGGAAGGAAGTCCCTGTCAGCCTGTGGTCTCCCAGGCCTCAGCTTCTTGCCTGAGGGTGAGGCTGGGGCCTCCTGCTGGGGCTGGCCCTGCCCCTGCTGTGGGTCTGGGCCTGGCCTACACAGGCGTGCAGGGCCCAGGGGCGGGGTGGGGGGCACTGGCCTCGGGGACTTCTTCATCTCGGCCAGCTCCAGGCAGGCCCCTGACCTCAGCAGAGCCCTCTGGGGAGCCAGTGTCCTGGGCTGCTAATCCACACTGGCAGAAGGGCCCCACCAGTCCACCCCTGCCTGGCTGTGGGCGCACCGTCAATCTCATCCAGGGGGATCTGCCCAAAAATCTGCAGGTAGGGCCGGTAGAGCACGCGGCGGAAGATCCACTCCAGGCGGCCGTCGTGGGGGTGGAGCAGCGCTTGGGTGGTCACACCGTAGGCCACGAGCCACACGCTCAGGAAGAAGAGGAAGAAGAAGACATCCTTCATCTTGAGGACAGGGGACGGAGAGTAGGGGTGTCAGTGTCCACTTGGGTGGGCATTCTGGGGCTCACTACCACCCAGTGGGGCTCACAGGTCTGGGGGATTCTTCTACCCAGGGTCAGGCCCAGGTGGGGGCTCACCATCCTCTCCACAATGATGATCTTGGGGCCCAATTGCTTATGGATGGCAAAGATGTGGATGAGCCGAAGCGTGAAGACCATGAAGTCGATGGCCAGGATGGTCCGGCCGGCCTCAAATAAGGAGGTCAGCATCCTGGAGGAGGACACAGGCTGCACAGGGCTGCTGGTCCTCAGAGAGGGGAAGACCCTTCCCCACAGCTCACTGACCAGAAGGCAGCTGCCAGGCCTCCAGAGGCCTGAGTGACTTCACAGGAAGCCTGCCCACCAGCCCCTGAGAGGCCGCAAGGTGACACCACAGACCTGCAGGTGACACCGACGGTGAACAGGAAGATGGCTACCATGTCACACTTGTTCCAGTTGTCCTCCACGTATAGAGTGAACTTCTTTACCAAGTGTGTGTCCTCATCCGTAAAGAAGCCCTGGGAGAGGGAACAGTCTGATGACAGCTGCCCAGGCTGGCCCAGGCTGGCCCAGGCTGGCCCAGGCTGGGGTCTGCAAGTACCAGGGAGGACTCCTTTCATGGTTCGGATTGACCTATTCAGGGCTAAGTCTGGGGTCAAAAGCAGACCAAACTGGACTTGGGAGTCGGGGCTCTCTGTGATCAAAGTCCAGGACCATTTTATGGGGGGTATCCAGGCCCAGCTAGGGGTTCAGGCCAGGATCTGGGAGACCATGGTCAGGCTCAGTCTGCAGCTGGGCTCAGGACGTGACAGGGACTGAGGCTCAGGGCTCTAGGAAGACCTGAGGCCCCTGCTGTTCTTGTTCTACAGACAGGTCCAGCCCCAAGCCAGCACCTGCCTGTGGCCACACAGCCTGTAGCTACAGAGCCAAGGGCCCAGGGTTGGGCTGGCCACTGACCTGCCGGATTTCCTCCAACACCAGTGTGAAGACCCAGAAGTAGAGGGTGATCTCGGGCCCAGACGGCCCCCGGGGAGGCGGCCTGAAGTCCACCAGCAGGACGTAGGTGAAAAGGAAGAGGAAGGCGAAGTACATCACCACGTTCCCCAGGAACACAGTCACCGGTGCCCCCCAGAACTTGCGCCAGCGTGTGAGCAGGAAGGCGGCCTGCGGGCCTCGGTCACCTGCACCCCTTGGTGCCTCCACTGGCTCCTCCACCCTGTGCCGGTGCAGAGGAGGCCACTGTTGTGAGGCTGGCCCTGGAGCCCACCTCTGTCCATCAGGGTCCAGCCTCCTGCCACCCCCACCAGCCCTTCTGCCCCACCCAGCTCCCTCTGCCCCTGACCGGCTGCCCGAGCCACACAGCAGGCTCCTCTCTGTGTCCAGGCTGTCCAGCTCCTGCAGGTCCTCCAGGCCCGTCCTCAGAGGGGTTTCCTTACTGTGGTACAGAGGGACGCTCAGAGCCCTCAGGAAGGGCACCTGCTCAGCCCTGGGCTCCCAGCCAGCAAAGTGCTGGGTCTGCTAAGAAGAATGAAGGCCCATGTGCCCCACTGAACACAGGGGCTGTGGGCAGGGGGACAGAGGCTCTGGCACCTGGCTGTGGCCAGCCTGACCCACCTGAAGGTGATGAGGTTGGTGTAAATGAGGGCAGGGCAGGTGAAGGCGCCCAGCAGCCGCAGGATGGGTGTGCCTGCAGCCATGTCCCCCCACCAGATCTTGGTCAGGAACGCCTGAAATAAAGACACACTCATTGGCTGTCCCCTGCCCACCTGGCCCATGCTGTGCCCTCCGCCAGGAACATCCTTCCCCAGGCACCTGGCGAATGCAAGTGCTTTCCCAGGCCAGCTGTAGAGGCCCCTCCCCAGCCCACCCGGGCCCCATCCTGGTGGGAAGCCAGGGATCCTCCTGGAAGCGTGGATCGTGTCCTGCTGTGAAGCTTCAGTAAGGGACTGCTGGAGCCCGGGGGCCTACTCTGAGGAAGTGAGGTCTCCGTAGGCAGGAAGAGTCCGGCTGGCAGAGGGCGCGGGAGCTGAGTCACCATGCCCAGCCCCTTCATTGCTGGGATGTGAGGAGGGGCCTGGCCGGCCGCGGCTGCCTGGGCCCCTCCAGCCCGCGTCACCCCAGCGGCCTTCCCCTGGCCGCCCCTTACCTGCACGCCGTCATGGGCAAAGAAGGCCTTGGCGTCCGCCTCAGTGGCCAGGTGCAGGCAGGTGGTCCGGCTCCAGCTGCGGTTACGGCGCACCAGCAGGGCGAAGGCCCGGTCCTCGCTGTTGCTGTAGCACTCGGAGAAGAGGTCTGCCCAGCGGGCCCTGTCTCCGTGACGTGCCCATGCCCACCCTGTCTTCTGCCCCCTCAGGCCTCCTGCGCTCTGGGGCACTGACCATCCCTGCCTGGCTGCCCAGCCCTTTACCTAACCTTTGTCCTTCCCCGGCCCCTCTCCTCTCCTGTCATGACTGTCACCCCGAATGTCCTCCACCCTGCAGCAGGACCCAGCGTGGGTGGGTCCAGGACATGGGGCTGTGCTGTCTCTACCACACGCTTTCTCACTTAGGGCTCCAGGGCTGAGCTCCACCACCAGGAGGAGCCACCCGTCCTGTCCCACCAGGGAGGCCACGAGGCAAGGGCCTGAGGGGAGCCCAGGCCCCTCAGGGACCCTCCCACGCCTCTCCCACGGTTGGCCTGCCCGCTGTCACTTACCCAGGGCCAGCTGCTCGTACTTGGCCTCACGCATGGTGCGGGCCACCTCTGCCTCTGTCTCCAGGTGGGACATTTCTTTGAGGATTTTACAGGCGGCCAGGGCTGCTGCCACACCCTCCTGGCCCTAGGAGACGGGGTCTCAGGAGGCCGGCCCACCCAGGCCCCTCCTCCCAGGAATCCTGGGGAAGCCCAGACTCAACCCAGGGCCCCGTGGCCACTGCTCACCATGGCCCAGAAGTAATTGGCCATCTCGTGGCGGTTCTGCAGCACAGCCCAGAGGAACAGGTCCCTCCAGGGGTCCTCGCTTTTCTGGTTGAGGTCCAGCAGCCACTTCTGGCCGGTGGGCCTCTTGGCCGACCCCCTCTCCTGGAGGACATGTGGACATAAGGCTCCAGGCCCGGCCCAGGCCCCAACCCCTGCTGTGCCCCTACGCACCGCCTTCCTCCGGCCGGCCGCCCGGCTGTCCTGGTAGAAGCCGCGGCAGGCATCATGCAGGAAGTCCTTGAGCACGCGGGAGACCTCGTGCAGGGAGAAGGTGGGTGGCCCTGCAGGCAGGTCCCGGGAGTGCTGGGCACCCAGGCCAGCCAGCGTCAGCCGGCCCTCCTCATGCTTACGCTGCAGCAGGTCAAAGAGCAGGCTTTTGGGGGACACAGAGCGGTAGAGCTGCTGCAGCCGCCCATACGTCAGGAAGTCGGCCATGTTGGCACCGCTGTCCACAAAGAGGCGCACGAACTCGGGCTTGTTGCTCACCAGGGCATCCATCATCACCTCCTCCAGGTCACAGGACTGCACCCACCCAAGGGAGGGAGATGGGGATGGGGAGTGTAAAGGCCAAGAGGCCGCAGCCCAGGAGCCCTGTCCAGGGCTAGCCAGCACTGATCCCCTCCCCAGGACATCTCTGCCTGTCCCCTAAGCTAGGGCTGGCACAGGGTGGGCAAGCTTGCTCCAGGGCAGGAAGGGTCCAGATGTGCTGGTGAACACCAAGGGCAGTGGGAGCCCTGGGCTTCGGGCTGGCCCACACCAGCCTGCCCCTGCGGCTACAACAGCTGGGCCAGAATGGGCCAGTCGCAGCTCCAGGACATGTGGACATCAGGCTGTCCCTGCCCCCAGAATGGGCCCTGCCTGTTTTAGCCAGAATCAGGGATCAGGATGCATCACAGGTGGGGCCAGGGAGGCACCTTCCACTCCACGTCCCCACTGAAGATCTCACTCTTGGCGATGTCCACGCGGTCCCAGGCCACGGCCAGCTTGAGCTCATCCAGGTAGTCCTGGGCCTCTTGGCTGTGGCTCTTGCAGGCTGTGGGGAGAGTGGGAGGAAGTTGAGAGCCCCCAGAGCCCAGGATGCAGAAACTGGAGGTCTGTGCTAGGATTGGAGGAGACTTGAAGGGAAGTGGCCACTGCCCATCTAGAGCACAAGACTGTGAAAAGCCAGGCCCCACGGGTGCCCTGTCCCCTTTAGGACCAGGTCCAATGAAGCAGAAGGGATCCTCACAGTAACGGGGCCTCAGATGACATCCAGATATCGTGGTCACTTCCCAGCACTGCTGGTCTAAGTCCTCTTCCCACGGACAGTGTGGGGCAGCATGCTCCCACTTCCCACATTCCCTCCATGGGGAATGGCTTTCACCCACAACCTGGCCCTGCAGGGTCTCTGGTGTGGGGTCCTGCAGCAGCTGGCTGGTGCTGCCTGGAGACCTCCTCCCGAGAGGAGGGTAGAGGGTAGAGTGCCAAGGTGCCAGGCCTCAGGCTCTCAGGCTGCTGGGACCCAGCTGGCTGGTGGGAGTCCGTGAGGGACGCCTGCAGAGAGGGCTCCTTGGGCCTCCTCTTCGTGGGAGGGCACCAAGCCCAGAACCACCCACAATCCCAATGCATCCCTGGAAGGGCCCTCCCTCAGGCCTGTCCCCACCCCTCACCCAGCACTGCCTCTCCCAGCCTTGGGCCTGTGTCCAGCTGCCTGAGGTCAGCCTCCCTGTGTGTGTCTCCACTCTAAGGCACCAGGAGTGACAACGGAGCCCTGCCTCCCTCCCAGGCCACAGTCGCTGGGGTCTGTCCACAGAAGGGGGTTACTGCTCAGCCTCGAAGGGTTCTGGCACCTGCTGGGATCGGGGGCCCTGAAGACCCCGAGGGAGGGAAGTCAGATGCAGAGGCCACGCACGGCTCCCCGTTTCTGTGCAATGCCCCTCGTGGTCAGGTCCACAGAGGTCGAAAGCAGAGGGGCGGTGGGGGCATGGGACAGTGGAGGGTGGCTGTGGGGGTGGGGCTGTTTGGGGTGACGGAGTTCTGGAGTGGTGATGGCACAGGACTGGTGAAGAGGTAGGAACCACTGGACTGAGCGCCTTAGATATTTTTAAATGGTGTGTGTGTGTCATCGGATTGCCCAGCACAGAGCACCTCATGGATGTGAGTCACCTTCCCCACCTGGGAAGGGCAGGCAGGTATCCACCATGAATGCTGGTGGGCCACCTGGCCCTAAGTGGCCCCAGTGCTGTTGAGAAGACACCCTGCTCCTCTCACCTTTCACCAGTGCTTTGAGGATGACGGTGTCCAGGTCCTCGGAGCCTTCCTGCTCGAAGTCATACACGGTAAGCAGGTGCGGGTGAGAGGTGATGTTCTGTAGCTGTGGACACCAGGAGAGGCCCTGAAGGGCACCCCTGGCACGACTGGTGGCAGTGGGCCAGCATGGAGCCCAGCAGAGTCCCCAGCTGGGTGAAGGTGTGCCCACCACCCACTGGGCTTGGCTCAGGACCACCCACAGACCCAGGAGCTGGTTGCCAAATCCCTCTGCCCCACGAGGGCCAGAGCAGAAGCCACATGGGGTCCTGGCAGTGGTGGGTGGGCACAGAGATTGCACTGGCAGGAATCCCCAAGAGCCACCCCACCCCAAGATGAGTTGGAGGACAGAGGAGGAAGATCAGCCCCTCCCGAGTCCCCAGGCAGCAGGTACCAGCTTGGTCCAGTGCACGATGGCCTCCCAGGAGAAATGCTCACTGGGGAACTTCTCTCTAAACTGCTTTTCAGCCACCTGGGGTACCAGGAGGTGGGGCTGGCTCACCAGGGCAGCAATCACGTCCGCGATGCCACCTGAGCCTGCCAGGATCAGCCAGGGGGCAGCATGCTCCACAGCCCTGGAAATCCTCTGGGATAGGGGCAGAGTGGACCCTGAGTCACTCCAAGTGATTTCTGCATGTACATTTGGGGACATCCTCATCCCTCCCTGCCTGGGGACCTGCCACTCCCTGCAGGATGCTCTGGACATTCAGGGGCCTTCAGCCCAACCCCCACTCCCTCCCCAGCACCTACCTCCAGGATGCTGGGGTCACCATTGACCAGCAGGCAAAGGACAGGGATCTCGATGCTACTAGTGCCTGCAGATGAAGCAGCCGTGAAGTTCCTCCAGATACCCAGGAGGGACCCAGTTGGGGAGGTAAGGAGGGGCCTGGGGACCCTCCTCATGATGTGGGTGACCACCCAGACCCCAGACTCTCGAGCTAGCATGTTTCCGGGCACAGGATGGTCAGAGGCTTTTTGTCATGAGAGGCTTCAGGCTCTATGTCAAATCCCAGGACCAAAGGGACCAATTCTACACCTGTACTGTCCAGGATGGCCCCCTGTGGCTAGAGCAAGTGTATGGCCGTTTTGAAATTTTACTTTTCTGTTTTTAGTTGATATGTTACAATTATACGCTGTAGTGGGGCTCGCACCATATTCACACATGCAGGTAGCCAAACCTGGCCCATCTCCTGCCCCAACACCTTCCTCATCTGGCCACTTAGATACAAGGGAAGGCAAAGGTAATGGCGCACTCCTTGGCTGCACCAGAGGAGCAGGGCAGCCTCTCGGCCAGCGCAGGCAGCCCGAGCAACTCCAAGAGGCAGAGCGGGGCCTCTTCCAGGCTGTGCCCCCAAACAGGAGCTGACAATGAGACTTCCACGTATGAAGTCCCCGAGGAGCCAGGACCTGCAGGGTCTTCCAGAAGGACCCCGGGTCACCGCACACTGCAGGAGAAGCCTGGATCACCCTCTGGGTGGCTGAGGGCTGGGGGCCCTCTGACCATGAGGGGGCCTCCCGACTGAACTGCCAGGGTAAACTGGGGCTGGTCACAGGTGCCTGGGGCTGCCGGGGAGGCAGGGCTGCCCTCCCACCTCATTCCCACCGCTGGGGCATGCTCAGATGGCATGCAGACAATTCCATTCTGTGCATTGATATTTACATCACTCGTACCCATTGTACCTTGTCGATAAGCGTCACTCACACTAGTGTTTCCCTAGTAAGTTCCGCTCTGGTGCCTGCCACTGGCCAACGCTGCCTCCTGGCGGCAGATTGCCTCATGGCAGGTGGTGGTACGGACTTACAGGTCTCTTTTTCCTTCTCAAAGATCCGAGTCCATGGCCAGAGCCTGCAGCCAGGACAGCCCCAACAAAAATGGGGCCAGGCTGCCCCGCCGTCTGGCTGGGGTGTCACTGCCCAGCTGGGACTGCTCTGCCCAGCTAAGCCGCTCTGCCACCCCCGCCCCGCCCCCCCCTCCTCCCAGGCCTGGTCGCCTAGGTCTCCAGGCTCAGGAGTGCTGGGGGCCTTTTGCCTAGAAGATCCTTCCCTCTCCGCGGGGCTCCCCCACCCCACTGCTCCAAGTGCCCGGCGGCCCTGGCGGCTGGAGCAGGCCTTACCCCCATAGCTGGTCCTCTGCTGCGAGATGTGCTTCTCCAGCCTCAGCCGCAGTTCTGCCAACCCGTCCCCCTTCCCTGGGGTGTCCGGCTCCACCAGGATGAAGTGAGAGAGGTTGCTGTCCAGGGCGCAGAGGGGGCTCTGGCTGCCCCCATCGTCGGCTGGGTAGTGGATGGGGGTGTTCTCCTGTGCCATGTAGCGGGGAGAGCCTCAGGTGGCAGAGTCGCTAGGCCCTGTAGCCGGGCCTGCCCCTCCCCGCGACGTGCACAGGGCCACAGGGGCATGGGCTTTAGTTCCTCCACCCCTCAGGCGGAAGGAGGCTGAGCTGCTGGACCCAGGCCTCCCGGACACAGAATCATGGAGACGGCCAGGGCTGCAGAAACTCCTCCTTCTGGACTCTTCTGGGCTGGAGTCCAGACTTTGCTGGAGCTGCCTGGGCCTCTGTTTGGCCATGTGGCAGACCCCTTGGGTGGGGGATGTGAAGAGGGACCAGGAAGCAAAGCCACATGCCCAGGGTTTCACAGGGCTCTGGGACTGTGGCCAGGTTGTGCCCCCGTGGACCCCCTGAGAGCCAGGTCCACCTCCAGAGGATCTGCCCTCTGAGCAATGCTGCCACCTGCTGGCGCCTGCTAGACCCGCGGCCCCGTGCTGGGCCCCCTCCATCTCCAGCTCTGTGTCCTCCCTCCTGGAGCTTCACTCTGTGGCCCTAAGCCCCTGCTGCCCCTGGAGAGTCCCTGAGGGCAGGGACTGGCCTGTTCACTGTGCCTTCCAGCCTCCCAGGCCCACCAAGACCCCAAGGCCGTGGGACCATGAGCCAACTACTACCTGGGCATCATCTAGAAGTTGGTGGTGCAGAATGCGGCCCAACGAGGCAATGCCAATGGCCACCACGCGGACCTTGGTGGATGTGCTGGCCAGGGAGTGGTCACGCACAGCCTGGCCGACATGCCGGGCCAGGCCCACACGGAGAGCGCTGGTCAGGATCCAGGCGCCTAGAGGGATGGGGCAAGGCAGGGCTCACTGTGCCATGTGTCCCAGGTCCTCCCCAGCTGGCCTGCCAGGTCCCACAGATGGGCGCGGAGTCCTCAGGCCTGGGGGCCAAGGTCGGGGTGCTCAGGCTGCCTTGAGGCAGTGATGGGTAAGCTGAGGCCTAGGGGGACGGGCACCTGCCCAGAGTCTCTACAGCTTGGAGCCTGGTTCCTGAGCCCAGGTCTGCAGTGTGGTCATGCAGCAGTAGCCCTGAAACTGGGCTGCAGAGTGGGTACTGGGGACCCCCCCCCATTGGTTCTTCATGAACCAAACAGGCCATGGCTGTGCCCTGTGGCTGTGCCCTGTGGCTGTGCCCTGTGGCTGTGCGGGGCCAGGACCACAGCACTGCCGTCAGCCTGTGTCTGGGCGCACATCAGTCTTCTTTGCTATGGTCGTGTCTGCAGAAACCCCGAATCCTCCTCCAGGCTGTGTGATGGCAAAGCTAGCCGCACAAGTAAGCCCAGGGGCTTGATTCTGACCCCAACAACGGGCCACCCACATGCTCCCCAGGGAGGGGAGGTGTGGTGGACCCCACCCTTGATGCACCTCATCCACTGGCTCAGGTGAGTGACAGCCAGGGCCTCTCACTAGGGCCCTCAGGCCCCACTGTGCACAGGCGCCAGCTGGGGAAGGCCCTTGGCCTCACCTGTGTGGCCTTCCCACCAGCAGCTTCCACTACAGCCCGGTGCCCTGCGGAGTTGAGTGGGCAGGTGTGTGTAGGAGGATAGGAGGTGGTGGGCAGGGCAGGCTAGATGGAGGCCCTCACCTGTGCTCTGAGCCGCCTTCACCAGCCCCTTGCGCAAGACGTCCCGCAGCCAGGACTTCATGGCAAAAGGCCTCTCCTCACCCACCAGGGACACCACCAGGTTGGGGGCCGGCAGGTGCCACTCAGCCAGTAGCAAGTCAAAGAGAACAGAGGGGGCCACGCTGCTGGGCACCTTCACGAACTGTGGAGCAGGGTACCGTGAGCTCCAGAGGGGCTGGAGGGCACGGGGCATGGGGTGGTGCTGGGCATGGGGATAGGGGGCACCGAGGGGGCTCTGGGCACTGGGAGGGGGCGAGGTCCACGTGTGCAAAAGTAGAGGCCCCTGAGACCGTTTTTGGAGCAGGTCGGGTCCAGCTTGGACGTCCACGTGGCCGGGCAGTCCCAGACCTCGCTAGCCTGGCTTCCCCCTCGGGGAGCTGAGGCCTCGGCAAAAGAGAGTTCCGGGCACACGGGCCGCCAGCGTCTCCCAGGCCTCCCAGTAGATCCTGGGTAGTTCCAGTTAGTGCTGGGGGGCCGGGGGCTGGTAGAAGACAGCAACCTGAGCCCACCAGCTCTGAAAATCTGCCTGTCTGGTCTGGGGACCCTGACCCTGGCCTTGGGGACAGTGGCCCCAGGACTGAGTGAGCAGCAGGCCCTGCTTCCAGGGCAGGAAGCGGACRCAGGGTCCTGAGTGTGCTGAGGGCGCGGCCGCCCCTACCTTGCTCCGCTTCTTCCCGGACCCTCCGAAGTCCACCTCGCCCCGACACAGTCCCAGCCCCTGCTCATCTCCTGCGTCGGGGGGGCTCCCAGGACAGTAGCCGTGGGCGATCTGCATGGCGGCCTCTCTGTGGGGACACAGTCACCCTGAAGATGATGAACCCAATCCCGGCCTCCCTCACTCCAGCCAATAAATCTGCAGAGACTTGGGGACCAGGAGAGGCAGTCTCTGCTCTGGTGACCTTCTCTCAAGCCAGCCTCTACCTGTGACCTCCAGCCTCAGCATGGCCCAGTCAGGCTCCCCCGGGGGGGCACAGGGAGGTGTCCAGCCCTCTGCCCAGCTCTGGTCCTGCTGCTCTCCCACCCCAGGCCCCTGCGCCCAGCCACACCCCCCACCCTCTCCAAAGGCTCTTGTTAGGAGAGATTTGGCAGAGGAGCGGCAGGGTTTAGCCATGCAGCCACCGCAGGGCAGGCATGGACACCCAGGTGCTCCTGAGCAGGCAGGTGCCAGGGCCTGGGGGTCATGTGGAGGAGGGGACCGCCCCTCCCTGCCCAGAGCACAGAGGCTCCCCGGCTCCCGGGTCAGCGGCAGCACCTCACCCCACCCCAGGCTCTTCCCACCCAGTTCCTGCCTCAGCAGATGGAGGCCAAGAGGCTGCCAGCGCCGTGCCCTGCCCTGGCCCTGTCCACAGGACCTTCTAGAGATCACATCCAAAGCTACCAGGGGTCAGGGCTCAGACACAACCTGGACAAGCCAGGCCCCAGCCCCATTCCTTGCAGCAGGGACCTAAGGGGCCTAGCCCATGTGACCTAGAGCCCCGTCCCTCAAGACCCCCAAGAAGCACCCTGGCCGGTGCCTGGTGTCACCCACCTGTCAGCACCAGCCTTTGCTGAGCCCGATCTACATGCAGTGTCTTCCAAAAACGGTGTGGGCCACCCAAGGCTCCTTCCCACCCTCGGGAACCAGGCCGTCCACTGGGCTAGGGGACGTAGGCCACAGTCAAGGGTCTCCCAGGGCCCGGTCTAGGCGGGAGGAGCTCTCTGCTTCCCGCTGAGCGTTTTCCCGGATTCACCAGACAGTGTCTGACCACAGATGGCCTTTGTGAAACCTGAGTCTATTAGATAGGAGCCACCGTGCACATGTGGGGGACAGAGGACAGGGTGACCTCAGACTGCAGGGATGTGTCCTGTGCCCCCTGGAGGGGTAGGGTTGAGGCTGAGCTCCTCCTCAGGGTGTCACTGGACCCAGCACAGGGGCTGTGTTCCCCAAAAGGATGTGTCCCCTCTCCTCAAAAGGATGTGTCTGAGCCCTGACCCCTGGTAGCTTTGGATGTGCCCTTTGGAAATAGGGTCTTTGCAGATGTGATTAAGGTATTAAGGTATTAATATGCCACCCCCTGTAACCTTGACAACTCTGGAGGCCAAGGCAGGAGGATCACAAGTTTAAGTCCAGCCTTAGCAACTTAAGCCCTAAGCAACTTAGCAAGACCCTGTCTCAAAATAAAAAGGGCTGGGGTTGTAGCTCAGGGGTTAAGTGCTCCTGGGTTCCATCCCCAGTACTTAAAAATAATAAATAAAAGAGAGATGCTTTGGCTAGCATACTTGCTGAAAGTGAAGTTGCCCTTCTTGATACCTCTGCCCTTTTGTGCATGTACATAAAGGAAACAACGATTTTTAAAAGTCCAAAATGTATCAAGTTCATGTGGATCATTTTGAACTTAATCAAATGAATTTTTAATGTAAAACTTTTGAGTTTCTAACTATGAATAGGCAATTTCTCCTCCCTTTAAATTGTAATTGTGCCTACAGTCTAAAACCCCATAAAAATATCATCAATGCTGGGTGCTAGGGTGCACACCTGTAATCCCAGCTACTTGGGAGGCTGAGGCAGGAGGATCACAAGTTCAAGGCCAGCTTGGAAAATTTAGCAAGACCCTGTCTTAAAACATTAAAAAAAGGGTGGGGGACTGGGGATGTAGCTCCTCTGGGTTCAATCCACAAATTTTTTTTTGTTTTTTTAATATTTACTTATTTTGGTGGTACACAATACTTTTGTTTTTATTTATTTATTTTTATGGGGTGCTAAGGATTGAACTCAGGGCCTTGCACATGCTAGGTGAGTGCTCTACCGCTGAGCCACAACCCCAGCCCCGCAAAAAGATGAAGAAAAAGGATAAGCTAAGATGAGGTCCCCCCACGTGGGTGTGACCGGTCCTTGTAGGAAGGGGAGTTATGGAAGGCAGAGTGTGGAGACAGGCAGAGTCTGCAGAGATGGCCGTAAGCCAGGGCCTGGGGCTGGGGCAGCCCTCGGGGCAGACACCACCCTCCCACACCCTGGCTTAGGACTTCTGGCCGCCAGGACTGTGAGCGTGAGTTCCTCTCCTGTTCGGACACCCAGTTCGTGGTCCTTTGTTAGGCAGCTGTCCATGTGGCCACTGACCAAGATGGACTAGAGCTCAGCAGGCCCTGCCCTCCTGGGGCCCGTCCACCTGAGCCTGGCCCCCTCATCCACCAGGCCTGGAGGCTCTTTCATGCTGTCACTACCTGCTGGCCTCTGTCCCCTGGGAATGCAAATCCTCCCCACTTCCCACTCCCAGGGAGGAAGCTGGCATCCAGGGCCCACAGAGGGGCAGGATTTGCATGTGGCCTTTCTGAGCTGGCAGAGTGGTTTGATGGTTTTGAACTGGGGTCTGAGGACAAGACCTGGCTGGGGGCGGGACAGACAGGACATAGGCCAAGGGCCACAGACAGATGCCTAACACCGTGGGAAGGGACCTCTCACAGTCACGCAGGAAGAAGCCCAAGATCCAGGCAAGGCAGGGCCGCTCCCCAGAGCCTCCAGGGAGCACCCCCTGCCTCCTCCAGCTCCGGGGGCTCTGGGTGTCCTTGGCTTGTGGCCACACGGCCTCTTCTGTGTCTTTGTGTCCTCTCTTTTCCTTGTAAGGACACCAGTGGCCGAGTGGTGTCCCCATCCTCCCTCAATCACATCTGCAAAGACCCTATTTCCCCACGCTGTCATGGTCTGAGGTTCTGGGTGGGCACCGGTCCTTCTTGGTGTCCCCCCACTATTTGGGTATAGGGCCATTCCTTGCCACATCTGGATACGTGCTCTGCAGCAGGGTTCGAGATGGACATGCTCTTTGGCCCAGGGTGGCAGGGGCTGGGGGGAGGTTGGTATCAGAGGGCCTTAGCCCTGGTGCTGCCCCTCAGCCTGGGGTATGACAAGGGTGACGTCATCTGCTGTCCCGTGAACTTCAGGCCAGGGAAGGGTCCTACTCTTCTCTCCCCTTGATCTCGGGTGAGGAAGGTGGTAGGTGGCCTTGCCACAGGAGGGCGGCTGTGGGCTCCCTTACCCCTGAAATTCCTTCCCCACGAGGCTAGCCCCCCTGGGTGCTGGTTGGCCTGGGGTGCGGCATGCCTCCCCCTGGAGGAGCAGCACCCAGGGAGCTGGGGACAGGTCATGGGCCCAGGCCTCAGCATGTCCCACAGCCTGCCACCTCTTCCCTGGTGGCAGGACAGGAGGGGTGCCCCTGGCCTTCCCAAGGGCCCAGACAGCCGCCCACGCTGGCTTCCAGCCCCAGGGCCGAGGGGCATTCGGACTGGTGCCAGCCCAGGCAAATGGGGCCACCAAGAGGGGGGGCATGCAAATGGCCAGGGATTTGCATGAGCAGGTGTCCAGGTCTCCCAGGCCCTCCCCGTATGTTCCTGGAGGAGTGGGGGACCCGGCCACTGAGGGTCCCACAGCATGCTGAGACCAGAACTCCCTAGAGGCAAACCCGCGCAGACCCCTGGCCTTGGCAGCGAAGGCCGGGGCCCTGGCCGGGCAGATGGCCAGGCCAGCTGCGGTCTGGCACTGAAACAGCCCTAACAGAATGCCTCCCTGACACAGGAGGGGACGGCCCGGGCAGAGCTGGGTGTGAGCCCAGGTCCCAGGCCACTCTGTCCCCCAGCCACGACTGTAGTTCCCTTGGACTCCTGGGCAATCTGCCCCAAGAGATGTGCTGTAGGTCCTGCAGACAGCGGGCACAGGTGGGCGACGTGCCCGTGTCCCTCCAGCAAGGACCCTGGTCTCCCTGGAGGATGACATGTGCACACAGCTGACGGGGCAGCCCAGCCTCCCCTGTGGCCCTTTGCTGGCCTCTGAGCACCTCCTGCCCCCCTGACAAGTCTCTGATTTGTGGGGCGCCCGCCCCCCACACCCTCCAACCCCCAGGTGGCCCTGCCCTCACCGAGGTGGGCCGGCTACCCCACAGCCCAGGAAGAAGGGTCCTGTCCCTGCTAGAGAAAGGGACCAGGCAAGCAGCAGGGAGGTGGCTGCAGCCACTCAGCCTGGCCCCCTCCCAGGCCCACCCTCGGCGGGAGGGGGCTCTCCCAGGCTGCGCCCTCAGGAGCCTGCGGCTGGGGCCTACCTGCCTGCTGTCCCCCGCTGCTGGCCAGAGTGGAGGAGCGTCACCCGCAGCCTGTGCCTGAGGCCCTTCCCCTGGGCTCCCCACCCTCCCCGCCCACCACACCTGGCGCCCGGGCAGCCAATGCGGCCCCAGGAAGCTGGGGAACCATGTGGAGGCCAGCCTCCCTCAGGTCTGATTGGCTAGACCCCCAGGGCACCTCCGCACCTGCTGCCGAGAGGTCCCCTGTGTCACTGTCATCCCTGCAGCAGGCCTACCTGGGGTGACACAGCCTGGCCAAGTCCACCAGGTCACTCCTGACACCAAGTGGGACGGGCCCCTGGCTTCAGTTTCCACCAACCTTGATTTCCCCAGCAGCAAGTGAGAATGGGAGGTGCCAAGGGCCTGGGGCCACCGCTGGGCATAGGAGCAGCTGTCCCAAGGACAGGCCGGCAGAGGGACCGTCCTTCCCCCTGTGGCCCCGGGAGGCCTCGAGACAAGCCCGGGGTGCACCGGTGGCATCCACTAGCAGACACCTGCTCTGGGGGTACTGGGTGGGCACGGTCCCTGCCTCTGGTGGCCGGGCGAGGTGACGGTGGGCCAGCCGGCCCCCTGTAGCCCTGGCTCAGACCTGCTTACCCCTCTGGCTCCCTCACCAGCTGGGCCTCAGCCCGTCTGTAGAGCGGGGATCCCGCAGACCAGCTTCCTGGGGTTGGGGTGACCATGGGAGCGC